AAAAAATATCGGCAACAAAAAAGGCATATGATTGAAACTATGTCTATGTCGAAGGAGGTGGTGGACCGGTCCAAAGTTTATGCCGCCACCCATATTGGGTAAAAATCTCCATGGCCACCTGCTCCAACCGTATACACACCGCCTTGAACATCGGTTGCCACTTCATTCGGTATAGCATAGACCACGTACAAAGAAAATGCGTACATCGGAGAATAACTTACAAAGGAGAGCAATTTTTCAACTAAATCAAATCATTTCTACATAGCCAAAGTGACCATAATAAGGCATATGCTCCCACCCTTATTAGCGTTTTAAAACCATTAGAAATTTTGTCCAACCAAAGACCAAAAATATTGGCAACACTTGGTGACGAATACATATTAGGCGATACTTTGATGACTCACCATGTAGAATGCGCAAACTTGCACTGAAAAAAGTTGTTTGATTGTCATATCATGAGTACAAAGGCTACACTTCTTGCTTCCTTGCCCATTGCGGCGGCGAGGTTGTCTTTGATTAGCACAACTCCCGTCCGAAGATACCACATAAAGATTTTAACTTTTAGTGAAACTTTTGATTTTCAAATTTTCTTGTTATATCCACTGGAGCCTCTGAATGCGTTAGTGGGTGACACATAAAGTCAACTGTGAAGAACCCAGATGTTATGAGATTCCAACGAAACTCATCCCGTCCATATGTCAGGTTAGTCGACTCCCATAGGGATAGAAGATTTTGCCATGACATAAGACGGGGGGCAATTAAATCCCGCCTAAAAGAAATATTTGACGGGGATGAACTAAGCACATGCGCAATAGTACCATTTTTATCACTCACAATGCGGTACAAATCAAGATATTGTTCTCGGAAGGTGACATTGCCTAACCACTTGTCCTCCCGGGAATGAATCTCTGACCCATCTTTTATCATGAAAGATCCAAAGCAAAAAGATGTTTCTTTGTTGCCATTAGCCCAACCCAGAAGTGCAAGTCATCAGGTTTCCAATTATTTCGAAAAGGGGCGCTTTATTACTTAAAATATTTAAGCATTACACCTAGCCTCTGCATAACTAAGATGCACACAGCCAAACAAGATCCTCTAACACAAACGAAAAATAAAAGGTAAAATACAAAGAAAGATGTAGAGTCCCTATAATGCCTGAAGCGGAGGGGGGAATCCTAAGATCATCCTACCACCCATGTTGGGTAAAAGTATCTCCCGCCGTAGCCTCAGTCGTGCACACACCTTCGTAAATAGGTCTCGATTCTCTGCGTGTTGTAGAGAGGACAATAAACGAAGAGCCCCGGTACATCTATAGATAACCTGCAACAGAGAAGTACTTTTATCATTAAAATCCTTATCATTCCTACATAGCCAAATCGACCAAATAACGGCAAGCGCTCCCATCTTGAGAAGAGTTCTGAACCTGTGATCAATCCCATGTAACTAGTTGCCAAATACATTAACAACACTATAGGAAGGATACAAGCCAAAAGCTATTTGGATGACTGGCCATATAGAACAAGCCAATTTGCACTGGAAGAGTAAATGTTTTATTGTCTCATCATGGTGACAAAAGACACATTGCGGACTTCCATGCCAATTTCTCTTAATAAGGTTATCTTTAGTAAAAATGACTCTGCGACGAACATATCATGCAAAGATTTTATTCTTAAAAGGTGTCTTCATCTTCCAGATCTTTGTGTTATTATCAACTGGCAAATCAGACTGGATTAACGCTCTAAACATAGACTCGATTGAGAATTGTCCATTCCCATGGAGATTCCATCGGAATACATTAGACCCATGTGACAATTGCACCATGGACAACCGCTGGAGCACGATGTTCCACGATTGGAATCTGGGTCCAATTAAATCTCTTTTGAACGTCACATTTGGCAGAAATGATTCCATTATAATGACAATAGTATCACCGTTGTGGAGCAAAATGTTGTATAGAGCCGGATATTGTTCCCGGAGTGTGGCATTTCCTAGCCACCTCTCCTCCCAGAATCTAATTTCCGAACCATCCTTAATAGAGAAGGATCCATAGCAGAAGAAATATTTCTTCGTAGCCAGTAGACCCGACCAAAAGTGTGAATCTCCTTAGGCTTTCAGTATACTTGGGATACCGCCTTGGAACCCACATATTTCCTCCTTAGGAATGTTTGCCATACACCATCTTTCGTCAGTAATTTAAACAACCATTTGACGAGGAGGTCCCTATTCTTAACCTCAAGGTCATGAATGTTCAACCCGCCTTAGTCTTTGGAACAGCAAACCACACTCCATTTAGCCAGTCCATATTTCTTTCTCTCGCTATCTCCTTGCCAAAAGAATCTTGATCGGAAGTAATCCAATCTATGTAAAACTCCTTTCGTCAACTGGAAGAAGGAAATCATATATAGCACCATACTACTTAGTACTAAATTTATTAGGACCAATCTTCCACCCAGAGACAACAGTTTACCTTTCCAACTGCTAAGTATTTTTTGCAGTCTCTCTTCGACGTGTTTTCATTCAACACTTGTGAGTCTCCGATAATGTATCGGTATCCCTAAATATGTGCTCGAAAACTGGCCCAACCCGCATCCGAACAGTTCAACATATAGGTGGGCCTCGTCTTGACCCCCGTCAAAGCAAAATAATTCACTTTTATGAAAATTGATCTTAAGACCCCGAGAGTTGCTCGAATGCTGAGAAAATCAATTTCAGATTTCTCGCTTTCTTGAGGTCATGATCGATGAAGGGAATCATATCATCGACATATTGAAGTATAGAGAGACCACCATCAACTAGATGATTTACTACCCCATCAGTTTGGCCATCAACCTTGGCACGCTCAATCAGGACCGCTAGCATATCCGCCACTATATTGAATAGCATGGGTGATAACAAGACACCTTGTCGCAATCCCTTCTTCGTTTCAAAATAGTGTCCAACGTCATCATTGACCTTAATGGCAACACTACCTCCAGAAACGAAGCTATGGATCATAGCGCACCACTCTACAGTAAATCCTTTCATTGTGAGAGTCTGTTGAAGAAAGAGCCACTTGACTATGTCATAAGCCCTTTCAAAGTCTATTTTGAGTACCGCCTCATTCAACTTTTTCTGGTGTAATTCATGGACTGTTTCATGAAGGATAACAACTCCATCTATGATGTTTCTGCCTTGCATAAAAGTTGTTTGTGAAGGCCGAACCACATGTTCAGCAACCAAATTTAGCCTAATAGTTGCAACCTTAACGAATATTTTAAAACTAACATTGAGGAGGCAAATAGGTCTATATTGTTATATCCTTTCAGCCTTGTTAACCTTACGTAATAAAATAATCCCACCAAAGTTTAAGTGAAACAATACTA